AAAAAAAAAGAGTATCCAATGATAGACCTGCACCGTTCAATGTCGTAGACGTTAGTTCCATGTAGCTGTGTAAATTTAAATCTAATAACATGAAACAAAGTTAAAAATTCAGGTCCTCAGTCTCATATACACTTGAAGTGCCAGCGGCCACAGAAAATCAGCAGAAGCGTTTTTTATTTTGCTTTTTTTTGTTTGTTTTCACTAAACTATTGTCTGGGGATGAAACAGGGCATAAAGGACAACAAACTTCATCGAACTTGAAAAAAACTCAGGGTCAAACCCGCCCCTCACAAAGATGGCGGCGCCGGTGGCTCATGCCCCTAAGACCTTCTGGCTGGCCGCCCCGCAAAAAGATGGCCGCCACCACCACATCCCGTCTGAATTCTGCAGGAGCACAGCCACGCGGTCTCCACACCCCACGTGATCTTAGCCCCGCCGAAACATGCCCTCCTCCCTATAACTCTCGCGATAACGTAGGCGAGCTCAAGGCTGGCCTCGCCTTCCCAACGTGAACTAGCGCACCCAGCGCATTCACGGCGTGACTTTTGCGAGACGGCGTCCGCCACTTCCCCGCTCCCTGCCCTTGATCCTGTGGGCCGTCCGTGCTGGGTTTGGGCCGCCCGTCAATCACAGACGCGCCCGAGGCACCGCCCCAAACCGTGCTCCCGCCCCTTTTCGTCACTTCCTCCCTAGCCCCTGTGCCGTCGATAAGGAAACCCGGACGCCCTTCCGGCTTTCCTTTTTTGAGGCGGCCGGGAAGATGGCGGACATTCAGGTGCGGGCTCGGGCTTGGCGCGGATGCTGCGGGGCCCACCCTCGGCCTCAGGGGCGCGTCCGGGAGAGAAGGACTCCGCGCCCCAGTTCTGGGGTTAATGCCAGACGGCCTCGACTTCCCAGGCATTAATTCGGGGGCGCGTGTCTTTGAATTAATCTAGATTAGCGCCTCCTAAATCCCGGGGGCTCCCCGCGTGGGGTTTAGTGGAGGCTCAAGCCTTTTAGGAGTTATCTTCTTAAAACTTAACGGGGTGGTTTTCCGGAGGCCTTGGGCCATCGGGTTAATCCTGTGAGAACTGAGCCCTAAGGGCTAATCCAGGAAGCCCGTGGTTTGGGTATTTATTTCTGAAGTCGTATATATTATATAAGGAGAGAATCCTGGGTGGGTGTCCTTGTGGCTTGGAGAATAATCGTTGCTGAAAGGTGTCCACGCTGTTAGAGGAATGATAGTGTGTGCCTGGGTTTTAAGGAATGAGTTCTGCAGGTGATGGGAGGTGTTTTAGAGCATGAATGCTTAAGAAAACCCTGGTTCAGAGTTGAGTCTGAACTCAGAGACTTGGGGTGAGTGTTTTAGATGGTAGTTATGGAGGCTTGGGAGGCTGCCGTTTGGGGAGTAAATGCTGGGGAGGATGGGATCTGGGGTTTTGGGGAAGATTTCGAGGCCAGGTTGCCAGCTCCAGGCTCACCAGCTTCCTCCTCCTCCTAGACTGAGCGTGCCTACCAAAAGCAGCCAACCATCTTTCAAAATAAGAAGAGGGTCCTGCTTGGAGAAACTGGCAAGGAGAAGCTCCCGCGATACTACAAAAATATCGGTCTGGGCTTCAAGACGCCCAAGGAGGTATGGGGGCTACTCTCAGAAGGAAGGAGACCCCTGTGTCCCTGCACGTGTGCACACTCTGGATTACCTCGGCCACATCTGACTGGCCCCTCCAGGGGCTGGTGGGAAATGTAGTTCGTGTCCCTGAGGCCACATCCCCTGATTATTTCCGGAAGTGCTTGTTCCAAGGCTCACTCCTTTCTTTCCCTTTTTCAGGCCATTGAGGGCACCTACATTGACAAGAAATGCCCCTTTACTGGTAATGTCTCCATCCGAGGGCGGATTCTTTCTGGTGAGTGAGGGGGCTTGGGTTCAGATTTCTCGGTCTGAGGGACGATGGGCTGGGGAATGATCAGTTCCTGGGTGAGGAGGGGGTGGGCAGACTCTTGGTTCCGGGGGGCACTGGCAGATGATGTCTTTTCACAATGGTCTTCAGATGCCCACCACGGGCACTGCTGAGAAAGCCACTTGGCACAGCTGATGTCAGCAGCAGGACTTGGGATCCTTCCTTGGCAGCTCCCGATTCCCAGCATGCTCTGGGCTGCCCAAAGCCCCCCTTCCTCAGGGGGCTGACCTGTGATCCATCCCCTCCCCCCAGGTGTGGTGACCAAGATGAAGATGCAGAGAACTATTGTCATCCGCCGAGACTACCTCCACTACATCCGAAAGTACAACCGCTTTGAGAAGCGCCACAAGAACATGTCCGTGCACCTGTCCCCCTGCTTCAGGTGAGCACGGTGGGCCTGCAGGTTCACAGGCAGAGGAGGGGGTGGCTGCCCCCGAGGCTGAGTGACATGGGGGACCTGGCCGGGGTTAACGGGGCGCCCTTGCTGTTGTGTGGGTAGTAAACTGTTGGAGACGGTGTGAGGAGACTGGTGGAACCAAGCAGATGTCCTCAGGAGCCTCCAGTCTGTGTAAAGTGGAGAGGATCGATGGAGGTCTTCTGCCACGAGAGGCCCCTGAGAGGGTTGGAGTGTTCTCTATCCACTTTGGACACAGTTTGTGGTCAATAAATAATGACCCGGGGCAGGTGGAACTGGAAACTGGAGCTTGGGTGGGGTTTGGTGGGGCCAAAGCTGAGAGGCCTCAGGCTCTAGTGGCCTGCATGGGACAGTCCAGCTCGTGACAGCACCTGCCCACGTCCACAGGGATGTCCAGATCGGCGACATCGTCACAGTGGGCGAGTGCCGGCCCTTGAGCAAGACTGTGCGTTTCAACGTGCTCAAAGTCACAAAGGCCGCTGGCACCAAGAAGCAGTTCCAGAAGTTCTGAAACGAGACATCTGTCCACACCCCTGAAGAAAATAAAGTTATTTTCCCAGTCAGGGGCCTGGCCCAGGGTATCTGCTCCTTTACCAGAGGGATTGTTCCTGGGAATTGAATGGGGTTGATGCAAAAGATGGGGTTCTCTTTCATCCTCTGGACCCCCACGTAAGGGTGGGACTGGGAGCCACATCCTTCCTGTCCTCTCATCTTTGGGTGAAGATATGAACCTGTATTAAGATACTGCTCCTCTCTTTGGGTCTCCTTTTGGTCCATGTCACCTCTTGGTGTCAGAAAGTAAGCCCTTCTACCTGGCGTTGGGGCGTGCCCCCCACCCCCAGTCTCTGGGGAGGAAGTGAGTGAGGGTGTAGCGTCCTGCGTTCTCTCAACTCCGGTCTAGGCCCTTTGGCCTCCTTGGGAGGGGGAGGGTGAAGCAGCCACCTCTGGACCTGGCTGGGGCGGTGGAGCGGGGGGGAGGGCAGGCGGGGGTGGATGGGCTTTCAGAGTCCTGTGCTGTCTGGGTCTGAACCACAGGGGACTTGACTTCAACCTGGGCTTTCCTTTCTCCCCTGACAATGGAGGAGTGGGGCAGGGAAGCCAGGCAGCTACCCCCTCCAGCTCCAGGCCCCACTGCCCCTTCCTGAGCAAGCACCATGCCCCTTTGCAGACGAGCAAACTCATCTGAGGGGGCAGGTTCTCCCCTCAGGGAGTAGCTGAGCTTCAGGTCTCACTCAGGTTCTAGAAACTTTTGTCTGAAAATCCAAGGAAGTTGGTTTTGAAGGCACCTGTCATCTCAGGCCAAGCTGGAGCCAGCCTGGGACCCACCTCTGCAGCACCCGGTTGCAGGCTGCTCAGACATGGGTTAGGAAGCCCCTGGAAGGGAGACTGATCAGGTCGGGGTGGCCTTGGGGGGAGGAGAGAAATGGGAACAGGGTTAGGGAAAGAGCTTTCTGACATGGCCAGACGGTGACCTGGACTGTCAGGGGAAAACGTGGGGAAGGGAGAGAGGTTGACCCTAACAGTGGAAGGCATTCTGTTAAAGAAAAACGGGGGGAAAAGGAGAGGGACCTTGAGGATCAGTTACAGAGATAAGGACAGAGGGCTCAGCTGGACTCTGAGCAAGGTCAGAGACCACAGGTAGTGAGAGACTCAAATTTCAAACAAGACCAGGCAGACCTTGAGCAGGAAATCAAGTTCAAGATGATAGAGTTGGGGGTCAGCAAAGCAGCAGGAAGCGGAGCGGGGGCGGGGGGGGCACTGACTTCTAGAATCTGGAGAGACCCTCACCCGAGTCGCAGCAGGCGGAGATGGAGGCACAGAGGAGGGAGGTGCTGGGGTCACCTGCTTGCTTCACCCCTCGGGGCTGGTGCTGCTGGGGTCCCCAGGTCCCTGCCCCCCATGCCTGTACCAGGGACCGAGGCACAGCACTGGTACAAGGGTTGGGAGACAGGGCCGAGAGGAGAGAGGAGCTGTTGCCTTCAGGGGCGCTGCCTCTGGACCAGCTCCGTGCCTTCTTTTTACCCAGACCCAGTGAGGGCGGGGGTTCCTGCCAGAGGAAGTGGGGCCGCATCAAAGGGGGCAGGAAGGGGCAGGGACAGGTCAGAAGGGGGTACCGCCCTGGATTTTCAGCCTGCAAGCCCGCCCCACCCCGTGCTAGAGGGCAGGGACCATGCAGAAGGGGACCGAGACCCAGAAAGGGCTCTGAGGCTGCTCCCAGAGCCCCCCCCCACAGGTGTTTCCGTTTGGGGTGGGGCTGCCCTGTTGACAACAGCAGCCCAGCTCCCCTGTTCCCTCCCTCCCAGCGGTCGTTGGGGTGTCTGCTTGGCCCCCCACCGCGTTAGGTTACCTAGTCACCGGTGGGGCATCTGCCTGGTGTGTGTTGGGGGACATGCCTGGTGGGTCAGGTGGCGAAGACCAAGGAGAGAGGCCCTGGGGCCACACCACTTGTGCCTGGTGGGAGATGACCACCGTGTCTATCCTTTTTAGAGTCAAGTGACAGCCAGAGACCATTCCTAGGTCTGTCACAGCCTCAGCGCTTGCCCTCAGCCCTCCGCACCGCTCTTCCCTCCTGGCTCGGCCAGCCAGCACCCACCAGACCTGCTCCCTCCTCTGAGCCTTCGCACTGGCTGTGCCCACTGCCTGGAAGCTCTCAGCGCAGGTGTCCACCTGGCTCCCTCCTTCACTGCCTTCAGCTGTAATGCTCACCAGCCTCTTTCCATCTGACAAAACCTCCAGTCCTCCCAACCACCCCTCCTGGCTTTATTGCCCTACAGACAGGTGAAGCCCATTTCTTGTATATTTATATGTTTATTGTACAAATCCTGAGTGAAACAGCATGTTTGTTTACCTACTAACCACCGGAATGTGAGCCCCAGCCCATGGACAAGTTGTAAGCGTTCCATACGTGTTTAGTGGAGTAAACAGATCCAAGTTAAATCCTCGCATTCTCACAGGGCAGGCCTGAGCCCTGGGTCTCAAGGCCTGGAATAGCCAGAAGCAGGGACCATGAGCAGATGCCTCCAAGTGAAAGCATGATGACCACAGGCTCTGTTCTGATTTCTAGCTCTGCTGCTCATTAGCAGGTCACCCCACCCCACCCCACCCCACCCCCGCCAACCGCAGAGCCTCAGGTTCCTAATCTGTAAAATGGGTTCTGGCCTCTCTCCCCCATTGGAGGATGAACTATGGTTACATGTGTTAATGGAGTAGAACTAGTTCTAGTAAATGATACTTCTGATGGAAGTAATTTTTCCAGAGCCCTGAGCCCATTAGAGAAAGGCCCTGAGGTAGCTTAGTGTGACAGGCCCTGGGTCCCTTCAGGAAGGCCCAAGGACAAGAGTCTTTGCCAGGGGGCCCCAGAGGTATTCATTATAGGGTTGTGGAACCTGCATCTATTACAGCAAGCCCTGGTGGGCTGGCATGGGACCTTGAGTCTATTTTAGCATGCTTCTAGAATATTCTGTTGAATGCCTCTGTAGGAGGTCCCAGTGGCATTGCTTTTTTCTCAGGGAAATTAGCTGCAGGCACAGTTTCATAGCAGGGTCCTAGATGTATGTCAGCAGGAGTCAGGCCTATTACATGAAAACAGGGCAGCTCATGGTGGTATCACAATGTATCATGGCCCCGCACCTATCACAGCAGGCCTCTGGAATATTCTGATTCTGGCAATCATTGTTGCCTCCCCCGCGGTATTCTACTCTAGCAGGACTTCCAGCAGCAGGAACCTGAAATCATTTGACAGGTCCGGTCCGGAGGTCTGTGAGTAGAGTCTAAGGGAACTTGAATTGTAGTAGCGTCCCCGTGTGTTTGAGCCTCCTGCTGCCACATTTTGGCCCTGTCCTGAGCCTATCATGGGAAATCCCTGGGAATCCAACATTCTGGTAGGTCCCAGCTCTATTCTATATTATCACAGAGGGCTACAGTATAGATTCTGCTAGAACGTTCTAACAAGGACACCAAAGCCATTCTAGAAGAGTTTCAGGGGCATATCAAACCAGGCCAGGGTCATTCGTGGTTGCCATCATTCATTCTACCAATATTTACTGTGCCGGCCCCTGGGGGTGCAAGAGGGAACAAGACATATCCAGGGCCCCAGTGTCTGAGATCCCTGAGACCCTAACAGCAGCTGGGAGCCGGCGGGGGCATATTAAGGGGAACAAATGTTACTATTTTGCCCTATCATGTGCCCCATGCTCAACCCTTGACTCGCTGAAGCCTCCCCCTGAGGTCGGTAGGATCGTTATTCCCACTTTACAGATAAGGAAACCAGGGCTCAGAGAAGCGGAGGAAGAGGGAGATTTAGTTTTGAACTCCGGTGTGATTGCCTCATGGAGTCAGTAGGGGGCACTTATGGTGCAGGTGCAGAGGGGAGGGGCACATGTTAAGGCGTGGGGCCGATCAGAGTACACAGTCCCCAGGGCCAACGCGGCTTCATGGACCTGATTCAGAAGGGACCCACGCTGGGTTCAATGGTTCAATGCTCTGCTCGAACTGTCTTGAAGTTGGAACAAGGGGCCCCACATTTTCATTTGCCCCAAGCCCTGCAAATTACGTAACTGGTCCTGCCGTGGGCTTTCTCTTCTTTATAGTGGGCCCCTGGGGAAATGATAGCAGGAGCCTAGGGGCTCTGGAGGGCACAGGCAGGATCTTTAGAGCCGGACCCTGGGAATATGAGAAGGGACAGCCAGCAGATGCTGTAAATAGCCCCTGAAGACACAACAGGACCCCAGGACACCTAGAAGGGACTCCCAGTGGGTACTAAGCGACGCTGAGGGCTTTCTCTGTTGTAGCAGGAAGGAGGGACATTATGGGGAATGTTCTGGCAGACTGAGAGTCCTCATTGCCAAACCCCGGGAGAGGAGATCAGAAGGGGGATATTCTAACAGGGACAAGGAAGGGCGTCCTTCCTGACTGTGGTAGGCTGGATAGTGGTCCCCCAAAGGTGAATGCCCTAATCCCCCGAAACCTGCAAATACATTACTTCCTATGATAAAAGGGATTTTGCAGATGTGATTAAATTCAGGATTTTGAGATGGAGAGATGATCTGGGATTATCCAGAGGACCAATGTAATCCTGAGCGTATTTATAAGAGGGAGGCAGGGGCTGAGTGGCTGGCTGGTTGGTTCAGTTGGGTAGAATATGACACTAACAACACCACCATTGTGGGTTTGCAACCTAACAGGCTGAGAAAAGCATTACTTCTCATGTTTAATAAAAATTAATTAGGGGCACCTGGGTGGCTCAGTTGTTAGGCGGCTGCCTTCAGCTCGGGTCGTGATCCCAGGGTCCTGGGATCGAGCCCCGCATCGGATCCCTGCTCA